ACGCGCACGCGCACGCGCACGCGCACGCACACGCACGCGCACGCGCACGCGCACGCGCACGCGCACGCACGCACACGCACACGCACACGCACACGCACACGCACACACACACACACACACACACACGCACACGCACACGCGCACGCACGCACGCACACACACACACACACACACACACACACACGCACACACACACACACACATTTTTGATTGGTCGGGGTTCACGCGGGTTTCTTGGAGCGGCGTTTGGCCCCCCGCGCGACAGTTTTCTGAGGCACGATGTACTGAGCGAGGGCCACCACAATGACGTGGCCGTTCCTCCCTATGCACGCGTGAGGCGTACGAAATCCCACGAGTTTGTTTTTTTTGCGCGGTCCGTTGTTCTTCCCCCGTCCAGTGGCCTTTGTTGAAGGCGCATTATTCGCTGGTTGACGTTAGATACCGTATACCGAGGATAGGGCGGTGGAGGAATACTTGCTGGTGCTAGCCACCAGGCCATGCTATACCCTGTTCGCGAGTGGGAAAACACTTCGGAACATTTTTCAGCGCGCATTCTTCATCGCGTCCTTCTGTATGCCACTCGCGCCTGGGCGCGCGTGACTCGAAGACAACACTAGATGACGTTCGCTTTCGGGTAGCTGCTCAATTTTCATCAATCCAGTTTCGCATCTGTACTATATGTTGGTCTCCTCTCTCCTCACGCCTCATGTCTGCATGATCCTTTCGTTTGATTATGATCGCTCTGCATCGGAGACGATTCAGCGGGTCACTCGGTATGTCCTGCCTCCCTCGGAAATTGTCAAGTGGCCAAGTGGCCGTCGATCCATACTGCCTGGGGCCACGCTGCCTGGTCTTTGGGTCAGAGGCATCGTCGTCGAGGCCTCTTGGGGGTCTTGGGGCTTGCTGACGTCTAGAGGCCTCTTGGAGGCCTCTGGGGGCTCTTAGCCAGTACGATGTAAGATAATTCTGTTCAATCATCTGATGTCCGCGCACTTCTGCATGACTCCAAGCGGCGCAACACGGCGCGATGTTGCGTACCATGATGTAGCGTCATGTAGTGCAACGGTTTAAGTGAGTCCGTCGCAGTGTAACGTGATGCGTTGACGTATTGTGCGTCGTGGCGCTTTTGTGTGTTAGATGATTCGGCTTGAGCATGATCATGCTTGAGTTGCAGTGCGGTGCAGTGTCGCGTCACGCCTTGCGGCATAACGTTTGCCATTCGGTCGTTTGGTTTGGTGCGGAGCGGAGCGGTATCACATTTGTTCGTTTTGGGGGTGTTTTTAATGTCATGCGTCCCATGCCGCCACCGTGCCTGGGTTGTGTGTCAGAGGCCTATTTGATGTTCCTGGGGGTCTGCTGAGATACCTTTCGGATTTCAGTTGGAGGGTTCCCGGGGGCCCCGCCTTCCAGGCACATCCCGCGCGCCTACTGTAACCTCTTGGGGGGTCCCTTGGGATGCATCTCGAGAGCTTCATTGGGGCCTCGTGGGCGCCTCTCGGGGGAACTCCTGGGGTGAGTCATGTCGGGGGTGCGGAGTGCCATCTTTGATGAAGAGACTCCGACATTCTATTGGTGTTATTCCGATCGGCCCCCTGTTGGGGCCCTCTTCGAGGCATATTGGGCTGTCGACGGTCTCTTGGGCCTTCTGGGGCTGTCTTGCTTGGGGTCTCTTGGGCTGTCTTGGAGCGATCTTCGGGACCTTTTTTGCCGCCACGGCGAACGCGTAAAAACAACTCAAACACAGAAAGCTGCAATGTTTGCCATTTGTTGGGGCCCGCTTGGCTCCTGTTGGAGCCCTCCTCGGGCGAGAGGGGGACATTTGGGAGCTGTTATGTGGCCATCTTGGCAGAGGGCCATCCCGGGGCCCTCTTGAGCTGCCTTGGGGGCCCTATTGGGACTTTCTTAGGGCACATTGGAGCCCTGGCCTCAGGGAAAGTCATGTGACAAGTCCCAGAGCTTACGCGACACGCTCCGAAGAATCTGACAATCTGGCCTCTGGGCCCCCTGAGAGTGTTCACAATACCCGACGGGGCACTCGAAGGGACTTGAAGACATTCCACTCAGTGCCTTCGGTACGGTGGCTAATTTGATGTTCGCAGGTCTGCATTTTCACACGCGTGTGTCTGCCAGGCGTGGTGATGCATTCAGTGCAACATGTCTCCGCAAGGTTTTCCTCCGTGGCCAGCGTGGCGACTGTGGCGCAGAAGGTTGAGGACACGCATTTTCGTCAGTGAGCAAGTCGTGCGGGAGGGAACATGAGAGGTCCTACCGGTCGAGGAGGCCGTCCAAGGGCTGGATAGCGAGAAGGTGCAGGAGGAGGAGATGGAGGGGGAGTTGGAAGGAGCGACCACAGTGGACATTAGTGCGACATCTCAGACACACGCATGCCGTGAATTCTACACTTGTACACCCTATGGTTGCTGAGGTGGGCTGCAACTCATCCTGCACAGCCGGCGGTAGCTGTCAGATTCACGGACGCCGTTGTCTTGCTCTTCGGCCGCCTGGATGGCACGGTCGGTGTACGCAAAGGAGAAACACCCTGCTTGCCTCCAGGGTGCCCTGGGTTTCCTGAGTCTCGATGGTTTTGCCATGGCCAGCGCGAGGTCCCCACGCCACAAATCGACGGACGTCCTGGGGTCGGAGGGTCGGGCTTCTTGTGGAAGGCTTCTTGTGGTCGAGCCCCTGCTGTGCCCGTGGGGCTCCTCCTGCTGTGCGGGGGGAGGGGGGGAAGAGGGTAATGACAGGAGAGGGGGGGAGAGGAGGGCAGAGGTGCGGGGCGGGGGGGAAGGGGACACGGAACAAGGGGAGGAGGACGGGGAGAGAGGAGGAGAGGAGGAAGAGAGGCGAGGCGGACGAGGTGTCGGAGGACGAGGAGAGGACGAGGAGAGGAGGAGAGAGCCCCGAGGATGCCGCACCGTCCCGCTCTCCCCACCACCACCCGCCCCTCCCCCGGAAGGGGGCTCCGTCGGCGGCTCCAGGGAGCGGCCGCGGCCGTCCCCGCGCCGGGGCCGCCGGCCGGCCCGTCCCCTCTTGCGGGGGCGGCCCGCGCGCCGCTCGTGCGCTCGCTCCCCGATGAGCTCTCGCTGACGAGCGCGGCCCGATGGGCTGCGCGACCACGCCGCCCGATGCACCGCCTTCTGTCTACGATGATCTTCATGGTCAAAGTGTGCCATTCTGATGTGCTTGTGTTTTTTTGGGGTTAGTTTAGCATAGTTTATAGTTTTTTATGTGTGTGTGTTTGTGGGGTTGTCTTGTCTTGTCGTGGTGCGAGGGCTGTTTGTTAGATTGTGGTTGTCTTGTCTTGTCGCGTCAGCCTCCTCGGGGCCCTCCTCCGGGAGATCGCGGGCCCCCCTCGCGGCCCCCCTTGCGCCGCTCGGGACGATCGGACCGGGCACGGAAAGAAGGGGTACAGAGACCGACAGCAGTTTCGATGCCCAGACCTGAGCGCGACGTAAAACAGTTACACCAGAGAAACAACCCGATCCGTGGATGGGTCCCAGACGTGATGGCGTCGCAAAAAGATCAGGACGGCGGGTTCTCGGCTGTTTTCGGCCTCGCGGAGCCCTCGCCGGGCCTCGGGACCCTCAGACAACGACGCAGGATGAAAAGCCGGCCCCGGGGACAGGGTCTGGACTTCTGGGGGCGCCGTCCTTGAAAAATCCGGACGCCGTCCCGGAAAAATCAGGACGTCGCATGCCTGGGTTCATTACTCGCTGTCCGCGCCGCCGCGGACGGTGTTCATTGAGGACAAAGCGCGGCCTGCCCAACAGCGGCCGCTGTTGGTTTGGGCAACATTTGTTGTCGGGCATGGTACCCATGCTTTCCGCACCCACTTCGCGCGCCCAAAGCCGCCCCCTCGTTCCCATGGGTCCTTGCGTGGGGACGGGCATCTTGGGATGCAGCCCTGCCCGGGAGGTTTGCTTCTGCATCGGTGCTTGTATATTCGTGGTCGGTAACCGGCGCGGTCCGGCATTCATCCTTGCCTAGCAGGTGTAATTCTGGGTTTCATCCGTCTCAATTTGGCTTTATTGTCTCTCAATGGGATCTAGTAGCCCTTAATATCTAGTCGTTCTTACGGAGACCGCCCAGGAGTTGCCTCCTAAGATATTCGGGGCAAGGTCCCCGAGATCGCCAGATTCGTGCCCCCGACGATCGTGGACGGAGATAGTCACCGCAGGCAACTCTGACGCCCCCGACAAACTCTGCCTCAAGCGCACGCAGCTGTGTGCCTGCCGGCAACGATTAGATCCCGCCCGTCCGTGCCAGCACACAGCACACTCTGCGCCTACGCCATCAGAGTCTGCTTGTCCCCCCTCCTCCCTGGACCTTCGCCCCTTGCGCTTCCTTCGGCCTCGTCGACCTTCCCCGTCACCTGATGTCTGCTGCTGTTCTCTGCTGAGCACTGGTCCGCACTTGAGCAGGCGGATTCCTCGACATCCTTCGGGCCCACGGCGCCGCGCGCCCCTCCCCGTTGTCGGGACAGCCTTGCAGAGGCGGCGCTTCTTCTTCCTCCCCCTCCGATTTCTTCGACAATGCAGCAGCACTCGGCACCATCGGCAATTGGCGCTCCGCGCTGATATCTTGGATCCGCGCTGGGCCCCCTGGCGGCACCTCTGGCACCGCCCCTGGCGCGCTCCGCGCGCGAAGGAGGTGGGTCTGGCGCAGATCCAAAAAGTTTATGTTTATGCAGTTTCTTCTTCTTCTTCTTCTTCTTCTTTTAAGCAACCCGTCGTCATCTGCAAAACGAGCGGCGCGGCCGGCGCTGCGGCGCCGCCTCCCTCGCCCGCCCGCTGTGCTGTTGCGTGTGGTCTCAAGGACAGTCCCAAGTCACAAGCCTCAATCATGCTCGGAGGCTTCATCCTCCCAGGAATCTCCGTCACTCAGCGCTGCGGCCTCTCTTAGTGGAGATTCGCCCAATCTCTGCCACCCATTCTAGATCAGATTCATCTAGCCCGAAGCAGCGAAGCACTATTTGACGCTCCTCCGTCTGGCTCGGGATCGCCGCCGGGGCAGCATCGACCCCAGGCGCCTCGTGCACATCTCCATTCGGTAGCTCAGCCCGCTGCGGCTCCCAAATGCTATGCAGCTTGCTGGCCGTAGCCCTGCCGATCCCTATGTGCAGATCCTTGGTGCGAGCCCTGGTGCCAGGGAACCTGCCCTCGGCAAAGCGGCGCAATTGCTCACGACATCGGGACGAGTCGGGTGTCTTTCTGCCTCCCCCGCTGTCCTCCCTTCCCCGCCTCTTTCCCCGGCTCGGGGGGGGGACGCAAACTTTCGAGCGCGCTCCCCTCCAGTGCGCTCCGGGCACTGCCCCACAGTGCGCTCCGAGCACTACCGCTGTGCGCATTGGGATCCGCGTAGGTGTCCGCGAAGGAATCCGCAGAGGAGTTTGGTCTGCAGTCGTCGTCGTCGCCGTCGTCGTCGTCGTGGTCGTCGTCGTCATCGTCGTCGTCGTCGTCGTCATCGTCGTCGTCGTCGTCGCTCGTGGCTTGTCGCTCGTCGCTCATAGTCGTCGTGCGCGCGGACGCGGTTGAAACCAGTTTTTTCATTCTGGGCCGATGACGGCAATCATCTAGGGGGGGATGGAGTGGGTCGATGACGTCACGTTTCGCGCCGGCGGCGTTTGGGATTGCTTAAGAATGACGGAGGACGGGTAGCGCCAGCATGTAGGTGGCGATTTGCACCACAACGCCTGTGTAAACCACAGTGCCTGCGTGCACCACAGCGCCTGTGTACACCACCGCTTATGTACACCACAGCAGCCGCGTGCAACACGGCGTCAGTTTGTGCCACCGTGCCTGCGGGCACAACAGCTCTTGTGCAGACCACAGCGCTTGCGTTCACCACATCAGCCGTGTGCAACACAGCACCAGTATACACCACAATGCCTGCGTGCATTGCAGTGCCTGTGTACACCAAGTCGCCTGTGTGCACCACAGCAACCGTGTGCAACACAACACCATTGTTGCATATAGAATGTGACAACGAATCCTTATGACAAAATGGAGCGCTCGTGGATTTCCACCGAAAGCAATACAGCATAATCCTTATGGGCAACGGAGCGCCGCTGGAATCGACGTGTCCTCCCGAGTCCGCCCGCATCACCCTAACTCCTCTTTTTGCGTCCAGGAGGTTCCAACTAAATTGGCCGTCCGAGAATCAAGTGGACTGATTCAATCGACCATTCTGCGGTGCGCGCTGAGATGCGCACGTGCGCTGTAGCGCCAACCCGCACGACATGGGGGTAAGGAGGAGGATGAGGGGGAGGAGGTGGAGGTGGAGGAGGAGGAGGGAGGACGGAAGAACGTCGCATTCGATTCTCAGCAATTTCCTGGCGTGGCCTCTAGTTGTCCGCAGCAGATCCTGTCCTATGCACGCAGGCGTTGTGGTGTACACCAGCGCTGCGTTGCACGCGGATGCTGTGGTGTAGCCGCGCGCTGTGGCGTGCACAGGCGCTGCGGTGCACGCGAGCATTCTGGAATGCACAGGCGCTGTGTTGCACATGGTAGCTGCGGTGTGCAATTGCACGCCGGCGCTGTAGTGTACGCGAGCATTGTGGTGTACACAGGCGTTGAGTTGCACACGGTTGTTGTGGTGTGCGCAGGCGCTGTGGTATACACGCGCGCTGTGGTTCACGCGAGCGTTGTGGTGTACACAGGCATAGTGGGGCATAACGCCACCTACATGCTACTCGCTCCGTCGACTTCGTTTTCGTCGTCGTCGTCGTCGTCGCCGTTGTCGGCGTGATTGTCGTCGTCGTGGTCGTCGTCGTCGTTGTCATCGTCGTCGTCGTCGTGGTCGTCGCTCGTCGCTCGTCGCGTCGCGCGCGCGGGCGCGGCTGCGGTGCTGGAGCCACACGGCGGGGGGGGGCGTTACGTCATACCCCCCCTTCGCCCCCGCCCCCCCCCCATGACGCCCGACATCGCCGAACATAAAGAAACGCGCTCTTCCCAGCGCCAGCGTTTCGGGCGACTCCGAGCCGAGTCCCGTCGCTGGCATCGGTCATTGTGACGCTCACGTGAGGTTTCTGCAGCGCGCCCTGGCCTCATCAGTCTCCGCATGTCAGCTTTTTTCTTGGCTCTTCACGCCTCCCCCCACAGGGCTCGTCGCACTTGCGGCTGGCCCCTGTCGGGTCGATAAGGCCCTCTGTGGTTCGGGCGCTGGCAGGGGCCCCTGGCCCCCGTGGGCCTGGCGGGCCTCACCCGCAGCTTCGGGGACCCCCCCAGGCCAGCTGCCGGCGGCGGCGGCGGCGGCGGCGGCGGCGACGACGACGACGACGACGACAGGATGTGCCTGGGGGCCTGCGGAGGGCCGGCCGCGGGCCCGCCGCGGGCCCGCCGAGGTGCCGCCGCGGCCCCGCCGAGGGGGGCGCCCTCGGTGCCCCTCTTCCCCGCCGCGGGCGCGGCCGCGCGGGCGCGGCGCGCGGCCGCCCGCAGGAGCTCGGCAGGCGCGTGGAGGCGGCGGAGGTGCGCAGGCGGGGGCGCCCGCGGGGGCGGCCCG